TGATTGGCGTAAACGAACATCATTACCACCGACGTGAATAACAATCCTACTGTATTTACGTTTATTTTTAGCCAGCAGTCTAAGATGCGCCTCAACGTCGCCCATAAGCTAATACAAATATAAATCAAGTAATACATATTAAATGATGGGTTAAGATATCCAGCAGCAGTAGGATATACAAAAGTAATTAAAATAAGCTCCACCTTAACAAACACATGCATCAATAATCATAATCCAGTAAGTTAATAAACAGCATTCTGAAAAGGGCCATTACGCATTACAAATACTTTTCCTTCTTCCACCATTGGCTATCGATGTTGAAAGTTTAACGCTTGAACTTTGACAGCCCTAAAAGTAACCTTTTTATCCTGATTACATTATCCCGTACATGTAATCAGTCACTCCTCAAGCCCGTAAATAGTAGATAACAGAGCCGGTGTGTCAGGGAACTCACAAAGTGTCAGAAAACAAAACCCTCTCTCTTTTCCTCCGTACCCAAATCTCTAAAAACAGGGGAACAACGGAGCTGATCCAGATTTGCGTGAAATGTGGGCTGGCTTTATGCCCACGGCCATATCAGAAATGTCACTATCAGAAACTATGCTGTTTTGGACGTAATATGGTCTGTGTTTACATTAGCATCGCTAACACTCAGAGCTAACCTGTACTGGAGAGAGTATGTATAAAAAGCAGGAAATATAAAAAAGAATTCACCTTGTGGTAAACCCGCAAGAGAAAAAGCATTTGAGCTCCATACTGTTTCAGAAATAATCCTTGATATGGTTTTGAACATGATATGGTGGTTAATCACCGCTGCATTTAGCTGAGTAGCATGAGCTCTCGTCTCTGCTCTCATTTTCTTTTTTCTTTTGTTTCTTTAATAAAGCTACGGATCAAGAATCAGTACTTTAGTAACAGGGCTGACATAGAGGGCTATGAGGCATGGCTAGAATGGGTTATCTGTTTGGCATTTGGAGCAAAACACTTCATAAACATGTTTTTTATATATCTGGGACCTATAATATATGCCTAAAATAGTATAATAGGAGACCTTTAAAGAAAGTGGTCTCAGTACCACTGCCCTTTAGTGAGGTATAACACACAACTTTTTGATATGAAATGCCGATGGTGTGTATAAAAACAAAGCTCCAGGCTTGGGCTAGAATATGAACACGCACCTCTTCAGCACGTGGAGTCTCATCAGGTTCACAGAATGCACTGCAGACGATCACAGTCTGATGCATTCTTAAGAGAATGAAAACCCAGGCCAGTCTCCGGATGTGAATATGCTCTCTCCTTTTTAAAGTGCTAACCCCTGCTTTTCTGTAACCCATATGAAATATAGGGCTACTAGACCCCTTTATGTCATTTAGATGTATGAATACATGTTGTTTCTGCACGGAGCACTCTAGAATGTACACCCAGGGTAATAAGTGGTGCAAATCACTCCGCCTCTCTCTCTCTTTTTCCCTGTGAACACCCTGAAGACGCAGAGACATAAGTTGAGCAGCTCCTAGTGTAGTAATAGTAATAGTATTTAAAAAGTGTTATTTGTACTCTCAACTATATCAGTTGACAAACTCTGACCTGCAAGAACCCCTGTGTGAACCCGAACTAGAAGACGACAGCCTGTGTCGTCTTATAAGTGTAGAAACTCCGGTTGGTTTTTTATTGCTGTCACCAAGCCAGATCCAATCTGACTTTGGATTGATGGCGAGCCAAGCCCAGTGAATCTGTGAGCGGTTGTTGGAAGCTGTGTGGCCTACCGTTGGACCTGCCTACAGAGGACGCGTGACCTGCCCTACCCGAGTGGAAGAGCCATAGCAGTACACACACACACACACACACACACACACACACACACACACACACACACACACACACACACACACACACACACACACCTGAACTGATTTGAATTCTCTTGATCAAAGGGAAGAGACTATTTCTATTTGTGTAGTAAAGAGCTCTATTTTTTTATTTTCATTCCTTTTCATACTTTTGACACAATTTAATGTAAATGTTGTTGAACACTGCTGGCAATAAAATTGTAAAATCTTCAACTAAAATCTAACTCTTCCCAGAGTTATTCACGGCATACCACTTTACGAACCTAGGAAGATGTTAGCGCCTCTGTTCTTGGTATGATATAGGACTAGGGGTGCTACAGTTCCATCTACAAACTGTAATCCCATTGTTTTGAGAGCTTGTTCTATTTTGACACTTTCTCCTCCTATGTTGGCTTGATGTTCTATTGACTTCAGTGTTTTCTAATGAGGGCTGAATGCCCTTTAGCTACTCCTACCCCTTTTAGTTTCAGGACCCCCTTTTTCCATCCAGCCTTCAACCATGGGCCTCTGTCCTTGCATGCACCCTCCTTCAAACACACCTCACTACTCCTGCATACAGGCCTTGGCAGCTGGGCCCTCAACTTTCTTACACCTGAAGTTGCACACACACATCTCTGATGCAGTCAATGTACACACCTTTACTGAATACTCATAATACTCTATTATTTTCTAATACCGAGCACTTTGTTAAGGACAATTCTACTGCCAACATCAACTAGCGGAACATTCCTGAAAACAGCATACTGTCCCACAATGCTATGTCAGGCAACTGACACCTTCACCGCACAGAACCACAGTCTCACACACTCTCTCTCTCTCTCTTTCTGTCTGTGTTTCCAGTTAATGATAGAGATACCAGCTTGCCCCCCCTGAGGCATTTAGTCCGGATCAGGCTAGTTTTGGTTCAGCCAGCCGTGACACACATGGGCACACGCCTCAAACTGTGTTATGTAATGAGAGCATCGGCCCCCTGAGCGTGTGGCCTTTTCATTGGAGAAATCTATTTATGAGGCAAAATCACATGAAAGGAGCAGAGCACTGACCCCCTGGCACACTGTGTGACCCCCCAGCACCACTCTGAGGCGAGGACATGTGAGGTCATCAGAGAGAACCAGCAGGTCCTCACACCAAATACAAATGATAGTGGATGAGATTAGAAAGGTCAGGGAGGTCGTTGTGGACACGACAAAGAAAGAATCTCGGCTGATTTCGAGTGAATCCAGTCCCCACAGCTCCTGTGAAAAAAATTGAAAATGTCCAAGTTGTAGTTCCTCTGGGTTCACTGCTCACATGTCTTTGAAGGATTTTAGAGGTGTACCTTTGTTTCCTGTATCTCATCAGTATGAGTGCACTGAGTGTGTACTGCAGCTGAGTGTGAAGTGGTGTGTGTAGCCAGCCTGCAGTAGTAGAGTAGAGGCAGTATGACTGTGGCCTCTGTTGGTCCTCTTGGGTCAGCGCTCTGTCAGACCACACACACATCACATCAGGAAGCCCCCCCCCCCCGCAGTGCTGCTCATTCCAATGCAACAGTCAGATCAAATGCGTGCAATTTGCTTTGAATGTGCAAATAAGGATGGGAATGTGAACATGAAGGTTAATTCAGGGCATGTAATAAACATTCTCAGCTCAAAGGTGCACTAGTTCTGTGGTGCTCTAAACTGCAACTCATGGACACTGTTATATTATTAGCTCTCCTTTTAGAGCCGGCATCCTGCGGCATATCATCCCAACTTTTTCTTTCCTGTTTGTCTTCAACTGTACTGATAATACAAGGACAAGTCCCAACATATTCGGCATAGCTTACATCCAAGAGTATTAGCTTGCTGGCCTTTATTGAAGTATTCCTCTATCTTTGATCAGTGATACAATATGCATCGCTTATCAACTAACTTCACAGAACTAATAGTCAGAGCAGCTGTTAAGAATGTCACAAGGCTCAGGACCCAAACGCACAACACCAGAAACAGGTCAGAATTAACAAGGTCCTTTAATTTAGGTCGAAACACAAAACGCTCACTTGGAGGATCAAAACTCTAAACAAAAACATCTACTATCAAAAATGAAACCAAAAGAGTCTATCAAAAATATACTTAACACGATCAAGGAATGACTGGCAGACTTGACAAGACGAACTGGCACAGGACAAAGGGAGACGCAGACTATATATACACACACTAGGTAAGGGGACACAGGTGGCAACAATTAAGGGAGGGGCTGACAATCACACTGGAGGGAAAAATACACAAGGGCAGGAATGCTCTGAAACGAGAGGGAAAGGTTACTACAAAATAAAACAAAACAGGAAATCACAAGACAAAGCAAAAGACAAAAGGACTGAACTAAATAAATTAACTTAACACAAATTTCTAGACACCACAGCAGCTGACATTTCAAAACCATGTTTGTAAAGGAGCCATATACTGCTTGTTTTGGTTTCCCCTCTCCTGTTCCATATGTTTCTGCGCATGTAAATGTTCTGCAAGGGCCGTGTTCCCTCCAGAGGGACTGTCTGTGCTGCAGCACAGGCAGTATGAGAAACATTATTTGCAAGAATTTCCATTAAGAATGTCTCTTATATTAAATAAGACAGACTATACATCTGACCAACACCTTAAATATATGAAATTATTTGTCAGACAGTATCTGTTTCATACACTGTCAGAGCCTCATTCTGTTCCTTTGTTCGCCCTCTTTAATGCTCCCTTCCCTTATTCTATTCCTCTTTGTTTCTCTAGTCTATAATGATATCTTGGTGTCGGGGCGTGGAGACTCCTTCTTCATCCGGACGCACTTTGAGTATGAGAAGGAGACCCCTCAGAGCCTGGCCTTCAGCCGGGGGGACGTCTTCAAGGTTGTGGACACGCTGTACGACGGGAAGCTGGGCAACTGGCTGGCTGTCCGTGTGGGCAAGGACAAGCAGCTGCTGGAGAAGGGCCTCATCCCCAACAAGAGCAGGTAGGCCTCACTACTTGTAATACTCAAGTACTTTACTTATGTGACCTTTTCAGGCCTTTACGTGTATTGGATTATTTTAAAATCAAAGTATAAAAGAAAGGATAAAGGATCTCAGTACTTCTTCTATCTCTGGTTGCATGCTGCCGCCTCAAGAACAAGCGCCGCACCCAGCGTCCTTTTTCTGAGAGTGCTGTTGTTTTTTGGAGTGCTTCAAGTTGAAAAGATTTCTCTGATGACATCAGTGTAGTAATTCAAGGAGAAGAACGCGATCATAGAAACATCTGAACACGAGTCGCCTTCCTCATCAGCTGTCAGACTGAGCGGTGAAGCCTATTCATACAAAGTGTGAGAGCAAGCATCCTCTGTTTGGTGTTAATGGTGAAAAAAAAACATCTCAAACAATATATAGAAGCACAAAGAGATGATCAAATCCAATGGGGCAATGCTATTTGGGTTTACCAACAGCGGTGATGAAATATTGTTGCCCTAGAAAGAATATAAAAAACTGGAAGAGTCTTCCACCATAACTTCATCACTTATTGCTGAGAACGATCAAAGGTCAACATGACAAAATTTGTCAATTATTTGTCCCTAATGTAAAAGAAGGATGCAAAGTTTCAAAGGCTGTATTGTCGTATGCACAGTAGCTAGAGTGTATATTTGGCAATGAACATCTGAAGGCCCCGGCTCCTCCACAATGCCTGAATCGCTGAATAAATCGTTGTTGTTTGTGCTCCCTGGCAGAGCGGAGCAGATGGCCAGTGTGCAGAGTGCTCATAAAGCAGTGGTGGGCGATCGAGCGGACTTCTGGAGGTTGCGAGCTCAGCGCTCTGTGAAGAGGAAGGACCTGAGGAAGAGCAGGGAGAACCTGAGCGCTCAGACCCTGGCCACCCGCTTCCCAGCATACGAACGGGTGGTGCTGCGAGAAGGTGGCTGAGCCTCTGTTCATGGAGACACTTGTCTCTAGGGTCTGACGGAAAAAAACATCTAGATCACATAGGAGGATTTTAACGTTGTAGTCTACACTGAAAAAAATAACACATTGACTTTAATGAAAGGTAGATGTCTGGCACCATTATGTAATGGATATAGACCCGCTGAAGCATCACGTATTTACACATGTAGGTGTGTTTTTCCTGTTCTATGTGATTGGCTAAAAGTATGTATAGATGTTTTTTTACTCAAAGAGTGTTTGAGCCTTATGTTCTTCAGAACATGTCTACATTGCTTTAAACAAGCTTTAATGCTGCACAGCCACAACCGTATACTTTTAGATTGGAAATAATATATTCTGACAAAGATTTGACTAAGCAGGTTGATTTTATAGCAAGAATGATTAATGGTATGTATAATTTCATTTAGAAACGTCCTTATTACGTAGTTTATCACCAGGTTGAACTGTAAAATGTCTTGTAAGTTACATACCTTTGTTGTGTTAAAAATGTATGTTTTTTCTTACTACATAATGTACTGCACTAAAAACGGACTTTAATGAAATGTATTACGTCTAATACAGATTAAATATAACTATTAGCTTAGCTGAAAGCAATAATATTAAGTGTAATAAAAAATATCAGGTTCAACTTAATAGTATTGCCTTCAACTAACCTAATAAAGTTATATGACATTTTTTGACATGATACATTTAATTAAAGTCAACATTTCAGTGTCTTCAGTGTGTGGCAGCATTGTAATGAGCCCCGTGTCGTTGCAGCTGGTTTCCGCCGCCCCGTGGTTCTGTTCGGGCCCATCGCTGACGCTGCCAATGAGAAGCTGGCCTCCGAGATGCCCGACCTGTTTGTGGTTGCCAGTGAGTCCCGGAGTCAGTGTCAGTGGGTGTTAGGTGTCCTGGTGTTTCTGCTAAATCCCCCCCCCCACTGTTTCTCTGTTCTTATGTTAGAAACCGAGCCGAAAGACGCCGGATCAGAGAAGTCCTCCGGAGTGGTTCGCCTCAACACCATCCGACAAATCATCGAGCAGGTGCCCACTCACACTGAAACACACACACACACATCGATTGAAATCGAAGCAGTATCCTATTAATCTATCAGTGTCCTTGTAGTGTCAGATTTAAAGGGTTTTGTCAACCAGCTGCAGCATTATCAACCTCTTCTCAACTGGGATCTGTGTTTAGTTCATCTAGTTAGTTAGTTAGACAGTTAGTTAGAAGGTTTAAAAGATAGTTGAATAGATAGTAAGTTAGTTGGATAGTTAGTTAGTAAATAAGTTATTTAGATAGCTAGTTAGATCGTTTGTTAATAAGTTAGAAATGTAATTAGTTAGATAGTGCGATGGTTAGTTAGTTAGTTTATAAGTTAGTTTAGAATCAGTAAGTTAGTAAGATAGTTAGCTACTAAGTTAGTAAGATAGTATGTTTGTTATTTAGTTAGTGTGATGGTTCGCAGGTTGGTCAGTGGCTCTCATGGAGATCTAAGCAGCAGCTGTGGATGAGAGAAACATCATGAACAGGAAGTGATAAGTTCCCGTTAGGAACAAGCTCATCATCTCGTAGGTCAGGCACTGTCTCTGGGAGAGGAACAGGCTCAGGCACTATTTCCTCAAAGCTGATCTATTTGGTTTGTAAAAAACACAGTTTAAGGAAGTACATTTAATCATTTACAATAAAGGAACACAAATACAATTGATACAGCTCTATTTAGGTTTGTTCAAATAGGATGCAAAACGCTGAGTAGGACAAGAAAATCTATTAACTATAGATGTATACATACATACCACTATTCATATGTGCATATACACCCACACTCCATTATTAAGATTATATTTATTGATTTACTGTTGTAGGCCAGGGACAGAAGTAAGCATAGATACAAGTACAAAATAAAACACTTAAATCAAGCATTAAAAAGAAAGAAACAAATTGTTTAAAAGTAACATCCACAAAAGCTATACAAGGCACAAACTCTTTCTTTGTTATCACCACTTGTGTGCCAAATGTAACCCTTCTGTAATCCTGCTGACAGTCACACAAGCTGAGCTGAGAAATGAGCCTCCTTGGCAAAGATATGAGAGATCTGAGCTGATCCACGGCCTGTCTGGTGAGACAAGGACCCCATTAGGCCTGTTAACCATTGTGTCCCCATTCCTCCTCCACAAAGGACAAGCACGCCCTGCTGGATGTGACCCCCAAGGCAGTGGACACCCTGAACTACACCCAGTGGTACCCCATTGTCATCTTCTTCAACCCAGACAGCAAGCATGGCATTAAGACCATGAGACAGAGGATCGCCCCTAACTCCAACCGCAGCGCCCGCAAACTCTACGAACAGGCCGTCAAACTGAGGAAGACCTGCGCTCACTTGTTCACTGGTACAGCCTCACACCCACAGTCAGCTGTATTACCACAGTTGGGAAGTAACTAAGTACATTTACCTGAGTACTGTACTTAAATACGATTTAGATTTTGTACTTTTACTTGAGTAACATTTTCAATGCAGGACTTTTACTTGTAACAGAGTATTCCTACATTCTGGTGCTTCTACTTTTACTTAAAGGTCCCCTATTATATACTGTTTTTCATCAATATATCACAGGTCTCTGTTATATACAGAACCTGTCTCTGATTGGTTGAAACACCAAACAGATCATTGCAGCATCCCATAATCCCCTCTGTTTCAGCCCTGTTTCCAAAGTGCTGATTCTCTGTCTGTTACTTTAGACGAAAATAATGAGCCCCTCCCCACGCCCCTCTGAGAGACATTTGGTTACAAAGAACTCAATGGTGCTCTTGGAGGAGATTCAGGTGATAAGGGGGGGGGGGTGGGGTTACCTTGGTTGGTGATTGGCTAATGGTTACACAAAACAAAGAAATCGTTATGACATCATAAAGTGGCCAAAATCTGATCAGCTCATTTTCAGACAGGTTTTTAATTTTTATATAAATGGATCAGGACAAAAAGTGAGGGGGTCTTTGTTCCTGAAACTTTCAGAATCTCTTTACACAGAGGGGACACATGTTGATGTAGAATACATGAAAAAGTGGATTTTGCCTAATAGGTGACCTTTAAGTACAAGATCTGAGTGCTTCTTCCACCTACTGTAAGTGCATTACAGTAGTACTGATGCAGCTCTAGTTGTATATTTGTCATTATTTATGTTTATGTTAATGCTGAGGTTGGATGGTTTTCTCATTCAGCCACCGTTGATCTGAACTCAGCCAACGACGCCTGGTACGGCAGCGTCAAAGACTCCATCAGAGGGCAGCAGATGCAGGCGGTGTGGGTTTCTGACGGCAAGGTAAGCAAACACAAACAAACACAATACAGGCACACCTGTACTTCTGTCTTTGTGAGGACAGACATTGACAAAATACATTCCCTAGCCCCTTACCCTAGCCTCTGTTCAATAATTCTGAGTTAAAGATGCCCGGCCTTGGAAATCTGACCATTGATCAGTCCAAAAAAGTCACAAATGAAACAGAGAGTTTAATTCTGCTTGTATAGATTCCTTTGCCTTTGCTTGATATATTCTGAGAAATTAGCAAACCAGAAAACAATAGACTTTCAATATTTAACAGATGCAACAAACTCGTTTTTTATATATCTTTCTTTTAAAATATGTTAAAACTTTATTTGGTGGCAGAGGGGAAAGTGGCTCTTTTGATAGTTAAGGTTGATGACCCCTCCCCTAACCCTGATCTTCATTCTAAAATTAAGATCAAAGAGGAAGACCTTTGAAGAACCAGCCACAATGTCCTCACTTTGAAGGTCTACAATTCAAACAGGTTCTCACAAAGATAGATATACAGGCACACCAACACACGCCTCTGCGGTGAACACCAGTCAGTGATATCAAGGTCATTAAAAGCCCATTTAGTAATTTCAATGCTATTTACGCATCTTTCAAATTATCCGGATTCAATCAGAAATGTTTGTTTTTTAAAATGTGGTTTTGGTGAAATCTAGATATGGCTTTAGCCTCAGTCCTTTGTACAACTATGTAGAATGTAACATCTCAGCTTTCCTGGACTGGAAAGCTGACTTAGCAAAGACAAAAACATTTCAAAAACAATGTAAAAAAAAAATATATATATCTAGCTTTGCTAGAGCATGGCAAAGGGATTCAACTGACAACTCTACCCTGATGCATATTTATTTGACTTCTCAAATCAACATGTATTACTTTTCTTAACTAATAACAAATACATATACTAATAGATTTATAAAAAATCAAAAGGGACACATTTCTAAGGAACACTGGACCCATGATTTCCCTGTTGTTAGTTGCATTTGAATGATATAGGACATTTGAATACAAGCTCTTCCAGTAACACAGACTACATCCTCCTCGTGATGAGTGGTCCTATAGCAGCTCCAGCTCACACTGAGGGAGCGTTACAGGACTGTTGTGACTGCATTAGTTTCAACCCGGTGGTTTCTCAGTTGTTCTTCAGTGGCAGGAGTCTGTAGTGGACCTACTATCTTCCAGTCACCTGCATAGCAGCCACCTGTGTGCGCTCTGAGCATGCTCACTGTGTGTCCTCCTACTTCCTGCCAGTAGTGCTACAGCTCGGCTCTGTTTGTCTTTCTTTCTTCTCTCTTGTTCTCGTGCTCTCCGTCTGTCCATCCTTCCTTCCTGTGCACCCAAGATCCATCATGTGTCTCTTCTAGCTGGAGGTAGTAGAGAGTGATCTGGACTGCCAGGACGTGGAGCGTCTGTCCTTCCTGTCCGCCATGTCCGCTGATTACCTCAGCATGGACAGCCGGCTGACCTCTGACCTCGAAGACACCGCCGACGAGGGCGGGACCTACACCGATAACGAGCCGGATGTAGAGATGATGCACATCTCAGCCATCAGCCGCTCGTCTGAACCCGTCACAGCTGAGGAGGTCAGACACACACGCACACACACACACGCACACACACACACACACACACACACACACAAACACACACACGCACACGCACGCACACACACTTATCGGTCTAGTTTACATAGTCTTAACAGTCACACATGTAATATTTTAAAGATGAATTCATTTTGTCATTTGACAACAACAAAGATCAGACATGATTAATAAAGCCATATTGATATTTAACAACCAAGGGAGTGGCTTATTTCCCTTTTATACTATTGAAAAAATTGAAATAAGATTTGCAGTAGAACTTTGATGTACGGTACTTAAACCTCTACTAGTGTACCCTTGGTTTCCATGGGCTTCTAACAGAATCATTTGTATGAAATGTTCTCTAACTTTTTGTGTGTTTTAAACGGACACAGTGGAAGCACTACATTCAAATTGGAACTTGACAATTACCTTAATATGTCCTCTCAAACAAGGCATTGTTGAAAAAAGTGGATATACACATTTCAGCATAAGAAAATACATATATTTAAAACAATATTATTATTATTTTATTCATATTTATTCACACAAAAAATGAATAAATAACAAATACAAATATAATATATAAAAAACAAACAAACAAAGGATACAAAATAATACAGGATACCTGATATTGCTCATATTTATGGGACAAACATATTCAGGAGAAGGGATATTTACCTCGACGGGATCCTCTGTCAGCTGATCAGGGGTCTGTACCTGCAGCATGACTTCAGGCTGGGTAGTTAACATTTGGGATTCAACGTGAGCACTGACCTAAATACAGTGCTGGAGCAAATGCTTCTCTCCCCTCTGCTCATCATTAGCCCTCCTTAGCCCGGCGGAGGGATACAGCCTCACCGCTCCAATATTTAGCTGACATCAGGCTCACTCATTGTCCCTGTTCAAATGACTTGTTATTCATCAACATAGTCATGCATTGATCTTCTTAATTCTCTGTATCTTCAGCTCTACTTCACTGTGTTGGCAAAGTGTTAAGGGCTTTATGATGGCATGTATGTGTTGCCTTCAGTATGCTGCTGCCACCTGCAGTGCAGACAGGAGAATACAGCTCCAGTAGCTTCTGTACAGCTGCTCTATAGTTAACCAGTGAATACAATGTCTGTACCTTCAATGTATTGCATTCTCTATTGTAATTATATGTCCACAGTTATTATGGACACACATGTACTAAATACACCAAATTACCAACAAAAGTCTTAATACATCCTTTTTGTAATGAATTCTTATGTGTTTGTGTGTGTAGATCTTGCGCAGGTACAGTCCAGACATCCGGAGTCGCTTAAGGAAACTGAGCAGCCGTGAAGTCCTCAGCAGGTCCAGTCCTCCACCTGTCTTCTCACCAGACGGCAAGGTAAGACACACACAGTATATATGCACAGTGGGAACACACACACCTCAGGAAACATGCTTCTGCGTCCTAAAGCAATACAATCCAATTGTGAGGATTACATTACATTACATGTCACTTGTGAGACACTTTTATCCAAAGCGACTTACATACAGTCAATCCTGTGGGCAGTCCCCACAGGAACAATTTGGGGTGAAGTGTCTTGTCCAAGGACACAGCGGAATGTTGCCTGCAGCAGTGCCCCTGTGATCCGAAGATCAGCGCACTAACCACTGAGCCACAACCTCCCTGGATAAGAAGATACTTTCTTTGTTTGGGTTTTGGACTGTTGTTCAGACAAGGTATTATAGCTATTTGTTGGATATTAACTGGATTAATCACTTATCCAGGGAAATGAGTGAGTGTAAAATCAGATAGTGACATCACTATGTATCACTCGTGCTTCTATTGGCTAGTGCTCCAACACATTGTACGTCTAACCAATCAGAGCAGACTGGGCTCTGGTTTCAGACAGAGGGTGAAAAGAGGTGTTGCAGCACAGGCAGTAAGAGAAAAGTAAAGAGACTTGTTACAGTAGAGACACTACATACTGATATACACATTACATTGCATTTTTTTTTGTTTACACCTGAACATCAGCAGGAGAGGACTCTTTAAAGTAGAGACACTACATACTGATATACACCTGAACATCAGCAGGAGAGGACTCTTTAAAGTAGAGACACTACATACTGATATACACCTGAACATCAGCAGGAGAGGACTCTTTAAAGTAGAGACACCACATACTGATATACACCTGAACATCAGCAGGAGAGGACTCTTTAAAGTAGAGACACTACATACTGATATACACTTGAACATCAGCAGGAGAGGACTCTTTAAAGTAGAGACACTACATACTGATACAAATCTGAAAATGAGCAGAACATGTCCTCTTTAATACTTGCCCTATGCATACTGTTTTTTCCTAGGAAACAAATGTCGGAGTGTAGGGTTATTGTTAACAGTGAACAACAAGAACACAGTTCAACTCCATCAGCCAGCCCCCACCTTTTTTAGATGAATACTTCTATCTCCTCATCATATTGACATTTATGTTGGCTGGAAATCATTTACAGTGTGTTTATACCGTGGGTTCAAATGAAAGATGGTTATACAGCAGTGTTGCTCATAGTGACAACTGCACACAGGGTAACATAGTGGAGCATTTAGCAGCTAAAGAGCTAAAATAATGTATTGGTTGAAGATTTGGCGTATAGTGGTGCATACTCAAAAATAACTATAAGAGGAAATTAGTTGTAAATAGGAACACATGTGTAACCATTTTAACCATAAATATCTGAAAAGGTCAGTACAATAAGAATATCACAATTCACTCTGAGACTGTGGACAATATATTATATTGTAAAGTGGCAGCATTTGTTCAGAAGATAACATGTCAGCTAAAGCTAACCCTAGCTCTCCCCTCTAGTTCCCAAAACAAATAATTGAATGCAGAGTAAAACTAATGGTTAAAAAAAGTTTGTAAAGATATCAAAGTCAATTGGATAACTTGTAAACAGGAAGAGTTCAGTTGAATTGATGATCATTTAATGAGGACTTATATCACACTGGTTACAATACTGGATGTCCTATGATTTCAAATGAAGCTCTGCTTTAATTGTGGAGCGGTCAAAACAATGATGCAAGAGACCTTTCACACTTCCATTTCACAAAAACAAATGTTTAAATTATTATCTTAATGATAAAAGATTATTATTTTTTTAAAAGCAAACGGTAATTCTGGACACCTCTAGCAACTGTGACTCTAACCTCCACATGCGCCCTGGCAGCTCTTTACCTCCATGCAAAGGAACAAGCTGCCCTTCTCTTTGAGGAACGGCCTGATATGGAGAGTCCACTCTCACTGCAGCTCAGAGTCCTCCGACGTCAGCTCAGTGGACCAGATGGGTACCCAGAATTCCCCTCACTTATTGGTACATGGTGGTGGGCTTGTGTTTAGCGGTATTGTTCGACTTTAAACTGTGTTCATGTTTTCATTCCAACGACGCATCACAGCAGCATATGTCACTGATTAGCATGAATCTCTATTCCAAGTAAACAGGGAATGATGTTGAGGACATGCAGTTTGGTTGGAATGAAAACATGTTCTCTTTATTTGTCTTTTCAGTGCTTTCTCTTATAGGCAACATTTTGTGTCTGAACCCAAATCCCAATTTATTTTATTTACCGTCGCTTTTCAAAACCCAGACTACCACTGAAGCAGACCCACTAGTTTATTATATTTAATAAATACAGTATACAGTTTTTCAATTTGTGGAATATTAAAGAGGCCCTGTTCTGCTTTTGTGGTTTTTCCTCTCCTGTAGTGTGTTATATATGTTTTTGCATGTAAATGGTGTGTAAAGACTAAAATCCCTATGTTCCCTCCAGAGGGAGCTTCTCTCCCCCCCTGACTGAAACGCCTCCATTGGACATGCTGACATCAATGTTACACTTCCGATTCTATTGGCTAGCGCTTTAAAGAGCAACTTCCAGGTTAAAGAGACCTGTGAATAAATGTGTAGGAAAATGATGAATACACTAGATTTTCAAAAAAAAATACAGAAATATACACTACAGTGACATCTGGCGTCGTTTTTGTAAGAAATGTTCACTTCAGCATAAAAAAGCCTCGGCACGTGACCTCCCGCGTGTGACGTAACACGGGGGACACAAGGGGGAGAGCGGCCGGTGTAACGTATTAATAAACATGGATCCCAATGCTAGTTTTGACACAGAAGAAGTTGAACATGAATATTCGAATGCATATGACGAACCACAACCTTATAATTATGAGCCTGCTAGGCGTCCAAGAGACCAGGAGCAGCCAAGGATTAGAAGAAATAACGGCCATCGGAGAGAAATTGAGCTGTGGTGTGAGGAGAACCAGTGGAGAACTGGGCAGCTATCTTGGTGAGTGACCGGCGTTAGCTACAGAATGTTAGCTAACGTCATATCACAACATTGTAAAGTTAGCTATCATATATCAGGCTATAACTAAAGTAGCATTGATAATATAGTAACGTTACTGGCAGGACTGTTGATACTGATCCATAACAGAAACTAATGCGCAAGTATCAGCCGTATCTCGCGTTACCTAATGCAACTCCACACTACGGTGCTGTGTACCGGAGGAGAGACGCGAGATACGGCTGATACTTGACGATCTGGCGGAGAAAGGTTGTGGAGCCTCCGTTGATATGCCGTTGTAAATGGCTTGATGGAAAGCAGGTGTGTAGTCGGGGAGGGTGCACAGCTGATTGCAGCTAAAGCTGTGGAGAGTATGTGCTGCAGGGTGGTGGATGCACAACGCACCCAGGAACGAACGCTAGCTCCGGTCCTTTTTACTGTGGACTCGATGTCCTGACAGGCTGGTATTTGTGCAACCTGCACAAACACAATACTGCACCATGATTACAAATGGTGAAATACAATGTAAAAATACCAGCTCCTTAAGACACAACCGCTCTACTCAACGCAACTCTACTATACCCGCGGTCAGAGAGCGGAGATGTGTCCCCTGTGTGATGTAATATGACGCGTTTGACGTATGACCTTAAAAAAAAAAAAAAGCCGTTTTTAAGAGCAGAGCTCAAAATTGCTCCTTTCCCTCTGAATTCCTGCACTTATGTCTCGTAAAACATATCAAATCCTGCATTCACTTTTTTAATTGTAATTTTCAAGCAAGTTTAAGCATAAATGTAGAAAAAATAAAAACCTGCAAGATGCTCTTTAACACATTGCACGTGATAGGCTAAGGGGCAGGACATTTCACACACATCTCTAAGTTGTTGACCAATCACAACAGAGCCGGCCAGCTAACCAATCAGAGCAGACTGGGCTCTGGTTTCAGACAGAGGGTGAAAAGAGGTGCTGCAGCACAGGCCGTATGATAACAACAAAGAGCTTTTGAACATTAAAGCACGGAGACATGTCACAGTGGAGACACTACATACTGATATGAAGCTGAACATGAGCAGAATGGGTCCTCTTTAAAAGGATGTAGATTTGTTAGTGAATATTTGTATCCATTGAGAAATAACCAAACACATAATGTAATTAAGTAACATATGAAACATGAAATTCTTTGTTCCCACTGTTCTCTATGGGACCATGTTTCTAAAACCAAATATGGATTCTGCTCAGGAGGTAATACTTAATTCAAAGCTTTCCTCCCCACCCCACTGAACTTTGTCTATTTGCATCCTTCCATACGGGTCAGAGTTCTCCTAGGTGACATGGAATAGATGTCTAAACCATGCTGCCTGACAACAGGAGTTCATCAAGTCTCAGTCCTTGGCCCTTTCCTCTTCTCCCACTACATAAAGGATGCTCTCGTACTTATGTGTGGCTTCTCCTAGCTAGGTAGACGGCTTTTCTTTTCATCCCCCAATGAAAAACTGTCATCTCTCCTTGCCTAGCTTAAATCCCATAGCTGTTGTCCTGGAGCTCAACTTTAACTCATCTTTTTTATCCTGTCCAAGTGATGTATATTTAGTACATTGGGTTTATTGTTTTAGTTTTGTTTTTAAACTTAGTATCGAGAAGGTATCAAACTTCTTGGAATTTCTCTAGTTTTGGTATCCTTTACTACATTTCTAGAATCTTCTTCCCTGCTGATGACTTTAATTGATCTAGCAGATGTGACATCATATCACAGCAACGACAACCTCAAACACCACTGCTGGCATTCTGCAAAAATGGCAAATGATTACCATCATCCAGCACCTCATACATTTCCTCAGGTGTTCCTGGAACACCTGGAATAAGCATTCCCTTTCTTGCTGACCTAAATCAAGGAAAACATTTTGGATACACAATCCAATAAGCTTGACAGAATAGTTTAGCCCTCAGTATGTCCACCTGCTGTGGTCGAGATGGAGAATTACTAAAAGCTAAGGAGCTCATTTTGTTTGAGTGCCTCTAGTCTCAGTATGGCTGCATTATGACGTTTCTGCTTAGTTTCTATTGTTTTTTTTATAAAAGTCAGATTTTTACCACCACTAACTCTGAGTATCTGCTCTGGCTCTAATGCTTTTTCTGCAGGTGAAACTGTCTCTGAGGGACGATCCGGCCACTTTGTCAGGATCAACTAACTCACACCATCACCACCGTCAGCACCACCCTCCACCCCCCAGCTCCAGCAGAAGTTACGATTCTCCCTCCAGCAGCAGCCCGGCCAGCAGCAACAATGACCCACCCCCACTCATCCCCCGTTCAGCAGCTTCCTCCGGCCCGCTGCCCCTGCCTCCAGCTCACCACTTTAACTCCTGCAGCAAAATGTGGCCTGTGGGAGCGCCTCAACCCCCCCCCATTCTTAGGTCCATCAGTTGTGGGGGCACGGCAGAGGCTACAGTGCACCCCCCCGGGGCTCTTTCCGGTGCCCTGGCAGCCTGCAGGCAGCAGGAGGAGGCGGCGCAAGACAGCCCTGGGGAGGACCCCTCCCTCAGGTCCTTCTATGGGAAGATCAAGGCCTTCGAAAAGATGGATCACTTCGCCCGGGCCCAGAGGATCCTGGAGCTGCAGGAGGCGCAGAGTGCCAGGGTGGGCAGAGCTCTTTGTTCCTATTGGCCAGCTGTAGTATCAGGAGGTGATTTACACGCATTGGAGTAAACTAACCAAGTATATTTACTCAAATACTGTACTAATGTACAATATTGAGAGACTTGTGCTTTGCTTGAATATTTAAATGTTTTGCTACTTCTTACTTCTACTACACTACAACAACGACCTGAACTACAATTCAGAGGTAAATCGTGTACTTTTACTCCTCTGCATTTATTTAATACCTTTAGTTACTTTACAGATTTTGATTGATAGTGTGAAATATAATCAACTCTTAAATCAAACTTTAGTTACACCTATTCTCAAGAATAACATCATACAAATCTTATATAGCACCTTTTAAAACTAAGTTACTAAATAATAAATGGATTTTGTAGTAAAAGTACAAAAGTGATTTTTGTATTTTATTTAATGAGGTATTTCTCTGTACAGCACTTTGGTCTGGAGGTTTGAAAGTGCTGTACACATAAAGCTGTATTTTACATTTCATTTACCAAAGAAAAATAAATGTCCTGATTATCACTCATGTATCGTGTAATTATAACTCAACATCTCATCAAGAATAGATTCAAAAATACAAAACATGAGGAAAACACAAGCAGGTCTAACATAAACAAGACATACTAATGGACACCAATGATGGGGACAAGGACAATAACATTACCAGAGGATGGAGAGCACTACAGGCTAATCGGACATTCTGAGTGTTGAAGTGGGATTGGATGATGATTTTGTCTGATTTGTGTCTGTCTATTTCAGTAGAGTAGTTTTGTAGGTAGAAGCTGCACTTTAGTTTGGATCCCGGTCATTTCAAGCTTTAATACACTGATCTGTGTTTGCAGATGGAAATGGCTCAGAAGCACCCCGACATCTACGCCGTTCCTCTGAAGGCGGCCAAGCTGGAGCACAGCCGCCCTCAGCCTATCGGGTAGGCTCACTACTGCCATACGCCTCGCTGTGAGTGGCTGTCTGCATGTCAGTGTAACCTCACACTTCCCCCTCCGATACCAAGGCCACAAAGGCTCGCATTGTTGGGGAAATCCATAATCAGTTACCTATCACAATATAAAGTACTGTAACCTGATTGCTTTCCATTACTTTTGGATTACCTCAATATCAAATGCAATGCAAATAATAAACAAGAGAAAATAAATATCAATAAATGGCTTCAACTTTAACTTGAGTCCTATTCGAATGCATATATTGATTTGCCGATTTATAGTCCACTGATAGTTAATCAAGTTATCTGGATGTCAAATGGAAAGTGAGTATACATTGTAATGTTTCAGAGAATACTACCCTCAATATAATTAAGGCCTAAGAATAGGAAATACAAATGTCCTTGCAGCTTCTACAGCATGATGACCGGTTCAGAGGGTTACATTAAACATTTATTTAAAATGTTACAATTACTAGTTTCCTGTTAAAAATTAAGTCTATTATGTAAGACCACGGAGTAATGTGACCTTAGAAAAGAAGAAATCAAGATATTTAGTTTCAAAAGTCCTCTTAAAATTAAAGCTAGGCTACAGAATAGTATAGTTTACAAATGCTGTTTTGTTTAATACATGATCATGAAGGAAGGAGAGTGCGAGTTGTGCAAACCAAACTAAGTAATTAGAAATAGCCATGTAGCAGCAACTGAAATAGTCAACACAAAATAATAAACAATATAGCCGTCCTCTATTTCTTGAGGGGGCTCCATGTACCCCTCTCAGGACCCAGCAAGAGACCAGAACCAGGTTACCTGCTTTTATTTAGTGACTCATTACCTGATTCTGATCAGCTTTCTGGCTTCCGGTTGATCCAAGCCGGCGCTCCGAACACACCGCGCTGCAACAGGTGCCTTGCTCAAGGGCACCTCGACAGCACCCAGGAGAATTCAAAGAATATTTCATCTAAATAAAACATTTTTCCCAGACATGAATATGTGTTAAAGTGGCTCTTACATAGGGACCAGGGATCAGTGAAGTCACTGGGATTCATCATGTGGGAACTATGAACGCCTGTGCACCTTTTATCGCAATTCATCCAATAGTTGTTGAGACATTTATGTCTGAAGTGGTGGACAGACGTTGTGAAATCAGAATCATCAACTACATAAAGTTGATTTTATGAGTGCAGGACTCAACACAGCTGTTGTCTGTCCCTCCAGGTCCAGCTCCCGCCCTGGACCCCAGACTTCTCCGTCCTCCAGGGAGGGGCGTCCCTTCTGCCCCAGCGAGGAGCATGTGGAGGAGGAGGCAGCGCCTGAATACTACACCGCCAACTCCTTCCAGTACCAGGACACCCAGCTGTAGCTGTCCTGGACACATGTTCATGCACTGCAGCTGCAGTCTATAACACATCCATGCCATCATGCCCTGCACAATAAGCTGCTGACTCTGAACTGACTCTTGCTTCTTTGATATTAAAGGACAAAAACTTTTATTTTTGATTCACAGAAGTTTAAGCAATCTCACTATCCATTTGGATTGGAACACTGTCCTCACTTAACTTTTTACGTTTATCTAATGGTTTATTTATTCTTTACCACTTTTAAAGGGTAAACTGAGTAATCAGGAACCACTTGTTTTCTTGCCTATGCAACTCTTCAGTTCGTGCACAGCAACTGAAACGTATTGCCACGAGTTTTGCTCTCACGAAAACCTCAACAAACCTAAAAACCACAATGCGCTTTATCATCTCTCCCCATCTTTTTCAAGCTACTATTATTGCCAGCTACGATCAATAAATGTCACCTATATTATGATATTCAACGTATATATGTATATATATATATGCACAGTATATATATGTATTTAAAGTCAAGTGTTTATACTCTGTATTTGCATTCCTTCGTATATGACAATGCCTGTGTATACATGCAGTATATATCTATATATAGTCTATCTAGTTACACTGGAATTTGTAATAATTTTTTGAAGTGCCTTTTACTTTCTCAGTCCCATGAGGTTCGGGTTGTGTTTCCTCTGCCCCTCAGCCGCCCAGCCGTATTAAAACCTCTGCTGCTGTCAAGCTTAAAGGGAAACCAGGGAACCAGTGAAACCAAAATCTCAATGCTGAGCCCATACACCACACACTGTACTGTCAGGATTTTAGAAAGAGCTAACACTGTCTGAACGCTAGAATCCATCCACAGCAATATCAGTTTGAGACTTTACGTGTAAATAATGAGAGTAGTTCAAAAGTATTATCTGTAAAGGCCTGGTCACTCCGGGATTAAGGTGGCAAATCAACAGATTTCAATAGAAGCTGCAAAATGTGCGGAATAGCTCGCAGGGTTAGGAGTTCAAGTTTAGTGAAATCAAGTATTAACAAATAGTGAATTGTGTTGACACGCTGATCTTTGAAGGAAATTAAGTTCAGATTGTCAAAAGAAAAAAGAGGCTATCATAGCTTGTTAGCTCTGTTACACTTTTTATATATACTTATAAGGCAAAGGCTTGCAACAACACAAATTATTTTTGTTGCAGCCCTACTGTTTCCACCTTCGCATGTTGGCAACGGCTATAGGAGCTTGGTAAATCCTCCTGCAGACAGTTACTGCATCACCATGCTGCAAGATAAACTCATTTAGATGCGGCTTGCAATACATTTAGCTGAGCCCTTTCTGGTGTGACCGGGCCTAATAATTGCTTTTCGTCATTGTTTCCTTCTTTGGTGCTCAGCAGTACCGCCCAGCCACAAAGGGTTTGCCAGTTTGAACTGAGCGGCCAGTAGCGAGATGTCTTGAGCCTGGGATTGTTTTGTTGGTTGACTTTCAGCAGGTGATGCCCTTTTCTGTCTGTTCAGCCATGGAGGCTATCACTGCCTATGCTAACAACCCTGTTAAATGATACGGTTGGTGACATTCTACATTTTTCTTATTGTCAACAAATCCCATGTGCAGACCCAAACCAACAATGAATGTATCCACTAACAAGTATTGTGTGTGTATCCAACACCTGATACTGAATATCTTATTTCTCTGTGCCATAGAGCTCTAATGTTGGTCACAAAACTGTAAGAGGCTCGACCAGAGCAGCAAGAGTGGATTAATCCGCTGCTGAAAATACTGCAGTCCCCAACAAATGCACTATTTCCTCCTGTTTGAAAAATAACTAATGTGTTCAGTTCTTTGAAAATAATAAACTATATATTTGTGAGCTTTTGTAATATATATATTTATGTCTTCAGAAGGAACCAGAGTGTATTGAGTTGTGGACTAAGGCAGTGTTGATATCGCTTTTTGGGACAATAAGAAGAATTTGGAATAACACCAGCCTTATTTTCTAAAGCTGTTTCCCATTTTTGATACTTGAAGCCTGAATAGAGTGGTGCAAGAAAGAGTCCTAAAACCAGGGAATTAGTTTCACGGCAGGTTTCCTCGTCTCAAAGTCAACGTTTTTGGGTCATATTTTTAGTCTGACGCTTAAGAAATGTTCATATTTTGTTCTACGACATAAAATACATCAGTGAATACCCCGCTGGTAAATGTTGGAAGCTTTTATGTGTGTTAAAAACAGTGGCTGCAATCAAGTGACTAAATGAACAAAACATTAGCCGCCTTTAGCTTAGCGGTGGTGACTCGCAGCCATGTGACCGTCAGGAAGCTTGTTTATAGCCTATTGTTAGCTTTTAACATCTACCGATAGCATTTGTGCTTCAAAAATCATAAAGAGTTTTTAAAATGTAGAGATTATCCTGCTGAAAAAACGTGTGTTTGCCACAGATCTTATATTCTGCAATATTCTAAAAGCTGATGGAAAAGTCCCATGACTTTTTGTTGAGGAAGCCCTTCTGATGCTCACTCCCTGGTTCCTACAAACATACATCATCACCACTCTGTGACAGGGTGCAGCAGCATCAGCCAACTGAAGGTTTAACTGAAGTACCCCCTAAGCTGGGGGTGGTTATCCAACCCTGTCTGAAGGCTATCAAGTGAGAGACATCTTCTTTTATTAGTCCAAAACAGACGATAGGACTTCCTGTGTGCCAGCAGACATTTATCTACACAGGCCTATCATACAGGGGTAGCAGCAAAAACCGGATAATGAGCTGGCTCTATCATTTTTGTTTTTACCAGTATCCACAGTGTATTCAATCACGTACAAAGGTCTTTAGCCAGAAACTTGTGAAGCCACAGATGGGGTGTGTGTGTGGTGGAGGCAGTGTTCTTTGGGCTCCACCATCAGTGTGTATGAACGGTGTCCCACATGTTTAAAATATGTTTGATTGTATATCTCAGTTCACTCTTCAGCTCCAAACATGAGCTACCAAGTGCTTACCGTCAGCAGTGGCGGCGCCAGGGCATGGCTGGGGTAGGCTGCAGCCATACCAAGAAATGGCTTAGCCCCACCATGAAAAATGATGTTAAAGTAAGCAAATTAAATTGAATAATAAGCTAAATGTTGAGAACACTGCTTACGAAAATATACGGGTCGTGTCCACAACACACAAACTGATCCTGCTGTAGATATATATATATATATATATATACACACAGTATAGGGTTATGCTAGAAGAGGGGTGCAAGGAATAGTCTAAGTAGTGGGGGAGTTTTATACACTAAAGGTGTGGAAATTCTCTGGCGTTATAATATCAGCGCGGCCGTGGTCAGAGCAAAATGCCTCCGAATGCAATTTGAATAGACCTACAGCCAATCAGAGCAACGAAACGTTGGGTCTGTGTCATGCCCAGTCTATGGTCATGCCTTACTGATAGAGTGGCAAAGTCACGCCCATATACATCTGTGGTCCATCGGAAAAATTATGCATTGAAGTCAATGGAGAGAGAAAACTTATCTTTCGATCCCGTTTGAATTGTGCCATGAATTACACATATGATGTTTGTCAATCTTAAAAAATAATTTCCATGTCAAAAAAGTCACAGTTTGTCGTAAAACTGTTGAAATATAAGACTATGAAAAATACGCAACTAGAAAGACTGCAAATCCTAGAGTCGCGTAAGTGATGTCATAACAGTTTTCCTCCACTAAGATAGCTAAGATCAGCGCCATATAGATAGCATCTATCTATATGGCGCCGGCTAAGATAAGATAACTTTAACAAGATGCCTGTGTGCTTAGTACCAGGTTGTTATCATACCAGCATTGGGTCTTACTCGTTCTTTCGCTTCCCGTCTGATGAAAGGACCAGGAGTGGCTGGATCAAGTTAGCTACCTAGCTAGTAGCTAGCACGTTAGTTAGCATTACAGCCTTGTCATTTTTATTAGCCTTAACATGAAGTAACATTAAGTAACCCAACATGTTAAACAGTAAGAGTAGTAGTCATATTTCGTGAACCCTTTGAAGAGTAGCCTACTGTCACACCGGTGTGATCATTCTATAATACACAATTTAAGCCCGGGGGAGAAATGCTAACGCTACATTAGCATCTGCNATCAGCAAAACTACGGGCTGAATCTAATCAGCCCTAACTATAAGCTTTATCAAAAAGGAAGGCAGACACCCTATCCGTTTTTAAGAGTGCGCTTAAGACCTTCCTTTTTGATAAAGCTTATAGTTAGGGCTGATTAGATTCAGCCCGTAGTTTTGCTGATATAGGCTTAGTTTGTCGGGGAACATCTTACTTCTTCCTTCTCTCTGTCTATACCTGTGTACTCATGTTCCGATTAACCCAGCTTCCCCAAATTTCTTTCTTTTTGGTGTCTATATACGCCGGGATCCGGAGTCATGGATGATCCTGCGGTCCTGTGTCATGGATCGCGAGTCCTGGATCTTGAGTCGTGGCTGTGGTCCTGGATCATAAGTCCTGGATGGATATACTCGTGGATTCATCTTCCTATTATACACACATGCATTTCCAAACATTTGGACTACCTATGTTGCAAATGTATTATCTTTTCAATTTACACACGGCATCTATTGCACGTCTGTCCGTCCTGGGAGAGGGATCCCTCCTCTGTTGCTCTCCCTGAGGTTTCTCCCATTTTTCCCTTTAAACTGTGGGTTTTCTCTGGAAGTTTTTCCTTGTACGATGTGAGGGTCTAAGGACAGAGGATGTCGTATTGTCATACTGATATTCTTTACAAACTGTGAAGTCCACTGAAACAAATGTAACATTTGTGATATTGGGCTATATAAATAAACATTGATTGATTGATTGATTGATTATCTAAATCTGTAAGTAACTAAAGCTGTCAGATACATGCAGTAGAGTCAACATTACAATAAAGGCGTTTAAAATGAAGGGGAGTGGAAGTATAAAAGCGCATAAAAAAGAAAATACCCTAGTACCTCATTTTGGATTGTTTCAATAATAATAAACATCCATTTTCTGTAAAGCAATTAGGACCTTTAGGGGTTCATTTACAACAGATACACAAGTGTGATTCATTTGAGATTGCATTTAATTGATTTCATCTTAACTTTATTCCTTTACAGTTACAAAAAAGACACCATCAGAACACTGCTATATTTCTAAAAAGTGAGAATTACTAGCAGTATCACAATTTTCTTTTTAAAAAGAGCCTTTTGTGTTTGAGCTTATGTGTTGTTAAAGATGATGGCACTAGACTGTTCCTTTTATAGACAAAGAAATGTTGCAATAAATGGGGCGAAGCCTGCAAGTTAGTTCAGGCAGTCAACTCGAGCACCAATGATACATTAACACGTGACGCACCTCGTCCCTCTTACAACCAACCAAACACACTCTCCTAAACATGCCGCTCTATTTAAGCTGCCAGGTCTTCCTGACTCTGCCTCGCTATGCTGCTGCTGCCACTGCTGTGTTCACTTGCTTTTGCTGCGTTCATGTTCATGTTCCTGCTCCTGTGTTTCATGTTGCTGCTGCTTGGATGCCCCCCCACCACCCCAGCTTCCACCTGTAGGCTCGTGGGATAGTTATCTAATCATCACTCAATGTTCTTTGTAAATCTGTGGAGTGATGAGGCCTGAGCCTAGACGCCAAACTCAAACTATATGCTGCTTCTAATAAACATATTAAGAAACACGTGAGTTGTCTGACTGAACACTGTTTATGAAGATGTTATCAGTGTAATACATGTAACTGTTTTTGCTGCTGTCAGTGGAGGGAGTGTGTTACCGTCAGGTTTGCTCTGAGCCAGGATGGTGACCATTTCCCCTTTAGGAATCTCCAACAGGAAGAGCACGGCTTCCTCTCTCACTACTCCTTGAAAATCCACATTGTTCACCTTCAAGACACAAACAAAGTAAACAATAATAGCTTGCTGTTTATAAAATGCCATTGTAATTTGAACTATGTCTGATTTGAAAGTATTGCTGTTTATGAAATGGATGTTGGTGTTTCTGAACTGCTTACCTTTAGGATTTGGTCCCCTATGTGTAGACCCTCCTTCTCGGCAGGACTGCCCTCTTGAACACTGGCGATGAAGATGCCCACATCGTTTCCTCCTGCCAGCCTCAGCCCCACACTGTCCCCCTTTTGGAAATTCACCATCACCGTGTTGGGCCTGCAGAGAACACAAATTCTGCTGTTTACCAGAGGAGGGAGAAGTACTCAGATCTTGTGATTAACAAAAAAAGTAGAAGTACCAGAGAGTAAGAATACTCTGTTACAGTAAAAGTCCTGCATTCAAAATGATACTCAAGTAAAAGTAGAAAAGTATTAGCATCAAAATATAGTGAAAGTAGCGACAGTAAAAGTAGTCATTGTGCAGATTGGTCCATTTCAGAATAATATATATGATATGTTTCATAATGATTGATCATGAAAGTGTTCTCAAAGCTGGTAAAGGTGCAGCTAGTTTGAATCACTTTGTATACTGCAGGGTAGCTTGTGGATTTACTCCAGGTGGAACTACAGTCTGATTTAAGAGCATATTATGTTTCACATCATCAATCCTAATCTGTGAAGTAACTAAAGGTATTAAATACATGTAGAGGAGTAAAAGTACACTTTTTACCTCTGAATTGTAGTTGGGTAGAAGTAAAAGGTATCAAACAATTGAAATACGTAATAAGTAAAGTACAAGTACCTCAAAATTGTACTTAAGTACAGTACTTGAGTACATTTACTTAATTACTTTGCACCACTGCTGTTTACGATATGAGCCAGGTTTACTAACATATCATTGCAAAGCAGAGGTGAAAATTGTTTTATTCAAACATTTAAACTTGTAGCATTACGACAGTACAGTATATTTCCATGAAAACACCAACTAACGTACGAAGCTTAAAATATCATGGATGCATCGGAAGTCAATCTAAGGTACCTAAACGCTGCCAATCATAGAGAAAAAAGAAAAACTCACCCATATGTTTTTTCATCTTCTGGACTTGGTCGGAGGAGAATCTTTGGTGTGGTTGTTATGGCAACTAAAGATAAGGAAATCAGGTGTAAGCATCTGCAATGCTACAAACATGACCTGTCAGTAAAAGTCAATGCATAAAAGCTGAATTGATAATTAAGTATAAAATATAACTACTATACCTTTACTATTTACTATTACTACACTATAGTGTGGTGCAGTGGGATAATATTTTTGCAGGACGACCCAGAAGTTAGCTTTACAAGGGCTCTCTACGAACGAGCAATGGGATTTTTTCATTGGATTTCAATATATTGCAGAAAATAACTGAAACGTTGACTTTAATTAAATGTATCGTGTCAACACATTTCACATAACTATATTAGGTTAGTTGAAACCAATAATATTTAGTTGAACCTAATGTTTTTTATTTAACCTTGAATGCCAGTTTAGTTTTGTGAATGTGTAATTTTTGCAATTTGTTAGTTAGCACATATCAAACTTGCCAAGACAAATTGAAGCAGTTTTAAGAACAAACAAATGGTAAACAGGTATATAAATAGTTACTGTTCAATCACCACGGCACCCAGCCACCAATAAAGACATGATTGTCAATGTTGTACAATAAAACTGCCTATAACTATTAATAAAAGACTGTTGAGATCATGTTCAGCTTATTAATATTATTGCTGGATACTACCTATACTGCTTATACTGTCACAGCATAGTTCACGTACGTCAGATACTTAAATGTTGTTCTTAACTGTGAGTTATACTATATACTTATTTTATTAAAGTGTGCTTCGGCTGCTTCCCTCTTAATTGAATAACTTAGCCTACTTAGTATTCGCCTTTTATCTTCACTGTCCCTTTGCTGTAACACTTCAAATATCCCCGCTGTCGGAATGAATAAATGAATACTGTTTATGATAAAAAATTCAAACAGTCCCGAAACAAGGGGATGTTTTATATTCAGTGGAATCAGCTTTTAGTCATTTATTATAGTGATTCTAGTGTGTCATTGTCACTGTGTGTTTTGATGTTGCTGGGTCGTGATGACCTGGAGGCTGCTCTTGGTGCCCCGACTCTCTGTTCAGCTCTGTGGAGGCATGGGGGTCTTCAGGGACTCTGAAGGGGGAGGCCATGGCGGACATCTTGGCTGTCTTCATGGGTTCTTCCCTGTTAGTTTCAGGGTAACACACACAGACACACGGAATGAGAGACTGCTAGGTGTCACAGCCGATTAAAGACGGAAACTAAATAAGCTTGTTGACAAGATAACAGTAAGACACAATGGTAACTTTAAATGAGGACATATTTGTCTCTATATATTCTGCTCATTTCCAGGTGTATATCAGTATGTAGTGTCTCTACTGGGACATGTCTCCATGCTTTAATGTTCAAAAAGCTCTTTATTTTTCTCATACTGCCTGTGCTGCAGCACTTCTTTTCACCCTATCTGAAACCAGAGCCCAGTCTGCTCTGATTGGTTAGCTGGCCGGCTCTGTTGTGATTGGTCAACCTCTAAGAGATGTCCCGCCCCTTAGCAATCACGTACAATGCGCTGGAGCTCTAGCCAATAGAAGTGTGAGTGTTACATAGTGATGTCATTATAAACAAAGGAGTCCAATGGAGGTGTTTCAGGCAAGGGAAGTCAATTTACATGAAAAAAAAACTAAAACAAAACTCTACAGGAAAGGGAATACCCGGAAAAACACAGTAGGGGCCCTTTAATTAGTGTCCGTTTTAAAGTCTTTTAAGGAAAGTCACATTTATATCGCAAGCCAAACAAAGTAGGACACAAGTCTGGAGTGGATATCGTCCATGGCACATCCACATCAGGTCACATGTCTACATCACCAAACAGGAAGTCCTCTCATCATCTTACCTGGGGTTGTCTCTTTCATTAGAAGAGTGGGAGGACAGGTCAGACTGGCGGGACCTCCTCTCCTCTGGAGGGGAATAGGAATGGTATGACTCCATCTCTGATATGTCTGACGGACGGACAGACAGACAGTTAAACACAGACTACATCCTCCTGTCCAAACTGTGCACCACCACCAGCACCAGCAGTAGATAATGGTTGCCTCCGGAAGCACCAACACCAGCTTATTATGGCCCGGGACATAGTGAGGACATTGTTAGAGAGGTCAAAATTACGAGGACACACTCATGGTGACACAGCCCCATAAAAGCAGTCATTACTCTAACACACTGAAACCATCAGAAATATTCAAAAGAATAGCATATTGTTCTGGTTTAGGGAATGTTCCTACTTAAAGAAGGTAGCCATTGGTTTCCATTCATATCAGCTTCCCTATAAATAGATGATGATTAGCTATAGCCTCGATTGATGCAGTTGATATAAAGTTGGTGGTACTGGTGTATTTTAAAAGGGCAGGGCCCACAGCTCGGTTCTAATTAAAGACCACTAGGGATGCCGTACAGAAAAACTGTTTGTCATACAGTTAGTAGTATCAAATTGGAGTTGAAAGTCATGTTCATCATCGCAAGGAGTGCAACTTTAAAGAGATACAAGAGGCGAATTCATGTTCAGACACTTTCGAGAAATCCAAATCAAGGATCTGAGGCAACTTCTGCATCACCAATACAAGGGAAGCTCATACTGAACAGAAACAAGCTGCTGACGCACAGCCCTGCGCTCCAAAGAGAGCACTCTGCTTTCATTCAGTCCCATTTGAAGTGAACATGTGTGGCAGAGTGTTTGATTTGGCTGCTTTTATGCGTCAGTGTGGCACTCAGCATGGCTCCGAAAGCAGGGAGGGAGCTTTGACGGGGGCCGGGACACCAAGAACAGAAACAGAAGAACCACACACATGAGAGCAAACAGAAAAGTGAAATTAAAGGTCCCTCTGAAACAATATGCCATGTTCAATCAGCAGACAGAAAGCAGATTATTCTTCACATGGAGTCTGGCACAGGTGCGATCTAGAGCGTGTGGATTAGTTTGATTAGGGTTAGAGACATTCTGCATGCAGGCTGAAAGGAAGACAGACAGAAAGAGAAAGATCAATGTGAGGATAACGTGTCAAACCTGATATGGAAGTGAAGTGTCGACCAAATATGTCAGAAACAGCATCAGTCATTCAGATTTATGTCACAACAGCACCTTTGGACAGTGTGTTGATGTGGAAGACTCCATCACAAAGAACTGATCAATACCGAGTTTTTTTCTTGTACGTTTGTAGAGGTGAATGCATTTTTTGCTAAGTTCTAAACCACTTTCGGCAAGCAATATTGCCCTCTTTAATATTAAAGATCAAACTTGTAACAGGGCTATAGGCAATACTTGAGCACACATTATATTTAAAACCTTTTGTATGCAGTATTTTCCTTCTCTTTCAAATTAAGGCAACATTTATTGTATTTTGTAATGTTTGTTAACCCTGTATGAGTTTAAAAAAAGTTCAAGCTAACCTTTTCACTGCTATTAAGGATAAAAAGGAATAGTTCTTACAATATAGACCATTTGAATCTACATCTAATGACAGTCTGCTGTGCTTTTTGCTCAGTCCACTCATGTTCCTCAGAGGATGAACCCTTTTCTTGGTAATGGCTCAATGACCCCTAAGAGCCTCACAAATGTAGGATTAAGAAAGGTAAACCACTTTTTTATCGTTGGGTGCAATGAATATTTTAGCTGCTGGTGAAGCTTTTAACTTCTAATCTTTTTTGTGTATTAATCAGTGGGCAATGTAGCACAAACAGCCAACACACCACACTGGGGATTTCTGTAACGTGTGGGGAAATGGGTGGGGATGGAAACCTGACGGTGGAGAAAAAAAGAACGATTCTGGTGTGGAAAGGATTCAAGAGCCTAATGGGTCCGCCACATTGAAAATAAATACTTATATAAAAAATCGTCTGCTGATTGGTTAGCTGGCTGGCTCTATTGTGATTGGTTAACAGTTTAGAGATGTCCCGTCCTTTAGCCTATCACTTACAATGTTGGCACGCTAGCCAATAGAAGTGCGAGTGTGAAAATCTACCATTGTCGGGAAGAAGAAAGCAACTACCCCAGAAAAGTTTCACTCAAAAGTCCGGTGATACCAACACACACAGAGCAGCCTGACTCTCTCCAGGCTGCAGGTTGGGGCAGTGAGACCTGAGCCAGCATATGAATGTGTGTGGAACAGCAGGAGAGGAGACTTCAGATCACCTGGACAGACAACGGCGAGTCGCTACACTGTTAGGACGAATGATTAATATGTTATTACACTGAAAACTCAACAAACATCTTACCCACTGTACGAGCCACGCTTTGTCATGCAACCTTCTGTTGTCATCATCACTCTTTGTGTGTAGCATCATTATTCAGATAATATGAGAG